AATGCACCTCAACCACAAAATTTTGCCCCATAAACACATACTTTTGGGTGGTGTTTGGCATCGATGTTGTTGCTCCAGAAAACGGTGATATATCAGCGTCATATTGGAAAAATCGGTGCTCCAGAAAATGGTAACATGTTTGGTACCGTTTTTCCATAAAAAACGGTACTCCAAACCATGCCTTAGAAATCAAGAAGGTGTGGTAAGGGGAAATGCCGAATTCGACGTTTTCTCAATTTGAAGCTCATTGCTGCCAATGAGGACATGATGTGGCAGTGACGTGGACTTCCTATAATGGATACAAGTGCTGAAAACAAATATTGAGCACTGGTACTAAACAGAAGGTATTGTTGTTGCCCCAAGAAACATCCTACCTGATAGCAACATTTTCTTAGAAAACAGTGCTGTATATGCAGCATCGATACCAAACATATACTTAGTATACCAACACTATGAAATGCACCTCAAGCAACAAAATTCTTTGCCCCATAAACACATATTTTGGTACCGGACATCACCATGAAATGCACCTCAAGTTATAAATTCATTCATTCATCTTGCAACACTAAAGTGTTTATGGTGCAACTTTACAGTTTAAGGTTCATTTGTTGGTACTAATACCACAAAATGTGATTTTGCACCTTGGAATTGCTCTCTTCAAATATATAATTTTTCTGCTCTTCTAATTCTTTAAATTTATTGCTGTTTTTTGATTCAATGTAGCAGATAATTTCTGAGGATGGTGGGCTAGAAGCCTTCTTTTATGAAGGTAATATTCCAAAGTGGTTTCATCACCAGAGCTTTGCCTCTTCAATATCTTTTGAGGTTCCCCTACTTTTAGATCACAAGGTTATTCAAGGGTTGATCTTATGTGCTATGTATGAAGTCGACAACAATGACAAAAAACTATTTGCTTATTTTGCTTACCTTGATGCCTATTTTGTTAATAAGACCAAGAAAGTTGACTGGAGATATCCTGCTAATTATGGAGGCTCTGTTCTCTTTCGACATGACACACACAATATGTGGGTAGCTTACATTCCACATGCTCAATTTGGGAATTTGTTGAGTGGTGGGAATCAAGTGGAGGTCTCATTTGAATTGGGGTCAGTTTCCAAAGTGAAGAAGTATGGGGATCAATCAATTTTCAAGCCTGATGAGATGGCAATCCAGGTGAAGAAGTGCGGGATCCATTTTTTATGCAATTTAGATGAAACCAGTTCACAGGAATGTGAGTTATTGCAAGTTGGGTGAATTAGTATGGTGCTGGCGCTAAAAAGTATCAGTTGTTGTGACAATTCTACACTGGTTTTGATTTGTTGATACTTTAGTTTCTTGGATATTCCGCATTAGATCTGTTTTGGGTTTTATTGTTTAAACTAAATTTAATTTACCACTTATATCTCCAACAGAAGGGATCCAGTGGATAAATTCCAATATTTTGCTCATCACAGATTTAATTTATTTGTACTCCATCTTCTTAGTCCTGATCATCAATGGGTAAATGCTCACGTGCATTTTTCTTGCTGACTTTTTCTAGAAAGGATCTAATGGCTACACTCCAAATTTTATATCACATAAAGTGGAGAAACATTGGAATATAGTCACTCCCAACAAATGGTAAATGATGAAGTTCTAGTTATTGTATTCTTGGACCTCTTTAAATTTTATAAAAGTAACCAAAAGATTTTAGTAACTCAGTTATCACTAATTACAAGAGAATTTAGGAATTCATTAATTGATTGTCCCTTTATTTAATTTAGTATTAAATGTTCTGTTTATTATATTAAAATTTTTTGTTAATATAGAAAATTAAATGTAAATAGTAATTTAATATTAAATGTCTAATAATAAACACTAGAAAATTTTAACAAATTTGATGAAAAATAAAGCCTATGAGGTAGGGGGCATGTCGAAACCTTACCCCTCTAAAAAGACTACCAGGGGCTCAACAGTTCATAGAATATACAAAATGTTTGAAGAGGCTCAAATAAAAGAAATGAGTCCAGATCAGGTAGGCACGTCATTGTAAACACATTAAATGAGTATTTTCAATTTTTTCATGCCAGTTCCATTCAAAATTTGATGAAGTCCAACCCAAGTCCGCCCAAGTTGCACCCCTAATTATAAACAAATCTACAATTAATAAACCCCCTGCATCTCTAGTTAGTTTTAAACATTCAAATAAATACCAAAGGCACTTGTAGGGAGCCTTACCGGACCCCTCAATGAAACCGAAAGCCTTAGCTTGGGAGATGCCATCAACAATCACCCTGAAATATTCAGCCACTAAGGCCATGTTTGGTTCATTGCTCTGGGCCTCATTTTCTTAATTCTTGCTCATTTTATGCAAGAATGGGCAAGAATGAATAACATTAGAGTGTTTGGTTACAAAATTCTTGCTCAAGGCCACATTCTTTTTAAAATGAAAAATCAGTCCCATTGCACAAAATTTGACTAGCCTGCAGAATGAAAATTAATCATGCCCCATCTTGCTCATTTCATTATGAGGAAACTCTACCTATAAAATTGTTGCCAACTTGCCATAGATGTTTACTTTTGTGAAAGCACTTTTATAAAAGTACTTTTACATGAAAGCACTTTTATGAAAATACTTTTACAAAAACACTTTTACGGAAGTACTTTTATGAAAGCACTTTTATGAAAGTACTTTTACGAAAACACTTTTATGAAAGTACTTTTATAAAAACACTTTTACAAAAGTACCTTTATGAAAGTACTTTTATGGAACCACTTTTATAACAGTACATTACTAAAACACTTTTACAAAAGTACTTATATAAAAAGCACTTTTACAGAACTACTTTTACAAAAGTACTTTTGCGGAAGTACTTTTACAAAAGTACTTTTATAAAAGCACTTTTATGGAAGTACTTGTATGAAAGCACTTTCTATAAAAGTACTTTTATAATAGCACTTTATGAAAGTACTTTTATGGAAGTACTTTTATGACATCATTTTTATAAAATCACTTTTATTAAAGTACTTTTATAAAAGCACTTTTACAAAAGTAC